TTAAGCCTCTACTAGTTGTCTTGTTTACAAAGCACAACACAATCAACAAGCAATGCCAACCATGACAAGCGCTACTGAACCACAGAAACAAGGTGAGAGCGAAATACACTAAATAACAGAAAATAATGATGGCTTAATCCAATTTTGTCATTTGTACAGTACTAATATTGACAAGATTTGCACACTCTCTTCCACATTAGAGATCTCAGAGGTATCCTACATTATAACACTTAGATTTTGATACTGAACACCAAAATATGAAAAGATGAGACAAAGGAAAGCAGAAAAACAGTATAGTATGCATAATCAGGTATTTTTATGTGTGTTTTACAGGGTATTGTCAAACTGTTACATATTTCTAATTGTAAACGCATCTTACATCACATGAACTTCATACTTCTACCACTTTCCACAGATTATATGATCTGATTTTACTATATTTTCGAGCACCATGCTGCATGAATGTATATTGATGACGACATGAGGAAAGGTTGCTTTTTCGCAATCGCTCGAAGTTGAAATTTGATAGTTAAATAGTTAAACGCATGCCGTGTTGATGTTGATGTCAAGTGTAACGTTACTTCCACCATTCACCAGAGAACACAGCAGTACAAATGGTAAAACCTTACACATAAGAAAATAAGTGGTTTATTTATGCTTTTTCTGCGAAGCCACGCTAAGTGTTTTTACTTTAAGTGAACGACTGGACACGCCGATATTAACGTTAGCTAATGTCCAATGTTGGTTAATAGTTGGGGCTCACCTGCGTCGCTGTCTTGTTGAACAAAACAGCCTCAGTCGTTAATATATGCGGCTCCAGTTTTGTCAGGAAGTGGGCCCAACAACCACACTCCAGGCAGACACCAGCGTGATTCTCCTTCTTGATTGGCGGTTGGCAAACCAACGTCGAATGGAATTATGGGAGTTGAAGTCTCAGTAAGGAAGAAGGCTGACAGAAAAAGCATGCCTAGTCCTCTCTGACACAAATTCTTTGCTGTCAGTTTCTCTGTAAGTCTTTGTCGAGGCAGAATTTTGTGTAGAGGAACACAAGCAGCCAAATAAAGCAACAGAATTTTATTTGTAACATTAATCAAGACAAGAACTTCCTTGGCTTATTTGAGCTAGTTGAAGCCAATTGGACTGTTCCAGAAGCAGACAAGGTTGGTAAAAAGGTTTAAATAGTCATATTTATAAAATAAGATAGCGGAATTAATAAATAAACATAATTATGTCATTCACCTGTCATATGATAAATAGCCAGTACATCTAGTTGCCAAATCTCCTTTGGGTCAGCACTAGTATAAGCTGACATATAATTAGCCTGCTCTGGCCCTAAATCAGCAAACTAATAGTTTTTTCAGGCTGTCCTTGTATTTACGGTGAGAGCCAGCAGCAGTGGAGGTTTTAGCATACTCTGTATGCATAAATGCATTTTATTTTATTTAAAAAATGATTGAGAGGGAAATGTACAAGCTGCAAAACTAAGGCTGAGCTCACCAAATCGGTGCATCCACATTTTCCTCACTTGCACCTTTTCCTTGTTAGTCCCACCCGCACAAGATGCAAGGAAAAGAAGCTATGAGAAAATATGAGAAATGAGGAATCAAGGCAACGTGTTCATACAAACATGGGATGTATTTTTCTCTAATCCTTCATCTGAAGCATCCAATCACCAACTGATTTCTGATAAGAGGCATGTCAGTCCATAAAAGACTTCTGCAAAGGATGCTTTCTTGTATGTTCATCGTGGCTCCTCCAGGCAGCCTCCTTGATCCTCATTTCTCAGAGCAGGACTGGAACGACTTCAGGGTCGAGTGAAGATTGATGAACAATCAAATAAGGGAACTGGAAATTTACCCAACACATCAACGTGAACAAAGAGCACATCTAAATTTTCCAACTGAAGCTTCTCCAAGTTAAAGCCAAAAGCCTGGGTCTCACTTTTCTTAAGTGTTGCTTTCACACACAGTACACAATTATTAAGAAACTATACATTTTGACTTATATAAGCACCACTCAAATTGGAAAAAAAAAAAAGTTAAAATTTCAGGACAGTAGGAAACATTTATCATGGTCAACATCTGAACATTTTCATGAACTGAACTCTTTGCAACCCTAATACAGTCCCTGTGTACAGTCCCACCAGTCTAAAAGGTTATAAATTCCCTGATTGTCTAAAATCTTGTAATGAAGCAAAGACAAGATTTGTACATTTGTGATACACTGTTATTAACAGCTACTGGCATAACATGTGAACATACTACTTACTGAAACACCACCAGTTTGTAAACCTTAAAACAAGTTTACAATGTATTTCTATTACACTATTCGATGGACCTTTTATGAGATTTATATCAAATTCTTAAGGAAAATTCACAAACAGCTGTACCATAAAAAGTTTTAATTTGCTAGTTTCCCTCTGACAAAAAATAAGTTTGTCAAAACAACCTTTATTTTGCCCTTATTATACATTTAAATAACATTTATTTTTGATTGGTGATGATGATGAGATTACCGTCACTCTTAGTATTCAACTAATTCACATCTAAAATCCAATTTATTATTCAACAGTTGAAAGTCTCTTCTTATATCATATCTCATCCATACTTATTCTTGTGAGTCTCATAATGTGTATCACCTCCCCTGTGGCCTAAAATTTTAAACCTGCTGGTGACAGCAAACTCATAATGAGCACCACTGGATACACACAAGAAAAAACAAAGTGGGAATTTAGAATTTTCGGGGGAATTACAACGGTTTGGCTTAATGCTAATGTAATATACATTACTAGATGCAAGTGTGAAATTTGACTTTCCAAAACCTAGTGTTTTGGGTTTTTTCCCCCCAAATGAGGACACTGAGCCACATCATTGTCACACAAGAGCTTACTTGTACTCCTTTAAACATAAAAATCTACATGAACAAGACACAAATAAGTCTCAGCTATTGGCCCTTTTCTGGACATCATGTAGAATTCATTTAATGAAAAAATAAAATAAAATACAGAAAACTGAGTTTGAAATAACCTAATTATTTAATGAATGGGTGATGTACTGATTTGCAAGAAAGGGGTACAGTAAAACTATGAGGGAAAAGGTAAAGAGCTTGGTACTCAAAACATCCATTTCGATTGCAGTACAGTTTAGTCCAGGGGAGCTGCTGATGCTATACCCTTGTATATACTAGCTTGTCATGTGTCAAGGATACAGGTGGAGGACCAGGGGAGGAGGCGCAAGGGTACTACAGAGAAAAATGTGCTGTTGTTGTCACATAGAAATAAAAGGAAACAAAAGGGAAAAACAATTCCTTCTAGTTTTAACTATATCCTGCTGATCAAAATTCAAAATGGAAGCACCCACCACGTGTGAAGCTAAGTGCTCAGTGTGATTGTAACTTCCAATTTCTTACATCTGGGGATGAATAGGTTCTCTTTTTTTGTCGTTTTCTTCCCACCCCCCATTTTTTTCCATTCGGTTCTTAAACCTTCTTCAGAATGCACTCATACCGCATAGAGTTCATAGATCTTCTTGGCGCAATACACCAGAGCAGCCAGTGCCATCGTATTATGGAGTCTCTTTCTGTGGACGTCATCCCTGCGTACCAATACCACGGGTGTCGATGAGGTGAGTGTATGCAGGGGCAGCCGTGAAAGTTTTTGGCTGTCATATTCCACCTGGTACTTGCAGCAGGGGTCAAACTGCCATGAAATCCCATAGAGGGCAGCACAGGCCACACTGAGAGCGCCAGCAGGCAAGGCCACATATCGTGAGTATTCAACGGGCAGTGAAAGTGGTGTCAAGAGGCAAGCAGTGCCTGACAACACAGCCGTCTTGTGCAGGCAGTTGCCCACAGTAATCCACCGGGCTGTCTCATCTCCGATGCGTGTGGGCTCAATAACAATGTATTTATACTGGGCCTCCAGTGCTTGCTCCAGCTCATACTCAAACTGGTCCTGTGCATTCTCTCCATTGTAGATTTCATGCACAATGTAGCAGTCTGTCGCCGCCATCACTCCCCTGTGCAGAAACAAAAATAGACACCGGACATTGAAAAAAAAAAGGACAGAGAGTAGATCAGGAAGACTGGTTTGCCTAATTTCTACACAAACTGGCCAATATGTTGTGGAGACACAAATAACCAAAGCAAACATTTTCCAGCTTATTACATTTCTCAAATAAATTTCTTGAGGTTTTAACACACAATTTGTACACATTACTACTGTGAGAACCCCAGAACATGTACATAATTAATTTTATATATTGTATCTGCTTTTGAAAACTGGCAGTGCAGGATTTAGGCAAATAGTTAATTTGTTTCTATCAGTACATCTACATAAGTAAACTATTAAAGGACAATTTTTTTGTGTGTGTTTGCTATACTGATAGTGTCCTGATGAAAATCTGATGTCTATGACTTCCAGGTTATGAAACATGCCCATTTTTACATGCACATTAGGATACACACTGCTTGAGATGTTTATAGTGGCGCTAAACAAGTAATTTAGTTCCATATTTTTTATATCATTCCCTAACTGCAAAATGTAAAAAATACCAAACAGCCAAGTCATTTCTCATAGCGAAAACAAAAATGCTTTGTCTACCCTTCATCCAAAATCGTCCAGAGTATTAAATATGAAAGAAAGAATTATGTTTATTTGTTTCATTGTCATTAAGTTTAACAGCCACATGTGTGGATCAGTGTCAACACTCGGAGGCCTTCATGTAAACGTTAACAAAATGGCAAGCAAAGGCTAATCATAGGAGAGGCACCAAGCTTATTCGGATTCAAAGACGAGGGCCACTGGGAAAATGGTAATGGAATTAAGGGCATGCCGAAAATGAAAATACATTCTAGGATCACCGAGCACGGAACATAATGTATCTGAGCGTCGGCCAGAGAACACTGGCTAATATGCTTACACAGAAGAAAGTTAGAGGACTGTCCAAGCTAAGTTGAGGACCATCTTACTTTCAGAACGGTCGACAAACACAGCGGGCAACAAAGTTAGATTGTTCAGCACGTGAAGTGTGACAAATCCGGCAAACGCTCGAAATAACGCACGGTTAAACACAACTCTGTCGGATGGTATGAAGTAACCAAAACATCACATGAGCAAGCTAGTTTGCTTCCTTGCTAATGTTACCTAGCTGTGCACGTTAGCTAGCTAATGTTAGCTAACCGTGGGATAAAATTCTAACTTTTCGTGTTGGCGTTTAACTTTAAATCCCTAACGATATGCAAGTTTTGGATTTGGTGAATGGTGACACAGACAAAACGATCTGTCATATTAAAACATATTCGTTTAATACCCAAGATGTGGACTAACTGACCTCTCCCTGTTTACTGGGACACCGCGCCTCCTTCCCAGCGACGCCATGTTGGAAATACAACAGTGATTGCAGATGACGTATAAGAGACTCCAGCCTTCTGGGTAATGTATTGTGTGAATATAGTCAACGCACTACGTATACTCGAATATGGACTATCATTCCCATGATGCTTTGAAGACACAGTACCTGCCTTTACGTATTTCATAATAGCACAGACGTTTAGGAGGTCAGACCATATTCTAAACAAGCCTAACACAAATAAACAGAGGTATGTTTGTTTAAGACATAACTAATTAGATAATCACATAAATAAACGCCCATTTCGATATTTAAATCGCTGTACAAGTAGAGCGCATGTATAGCCTATTTAAGTCGGATACACCATAGTATATACTGTACAGTACGCAATATAGTGTCCAGCAATCTCGTTTTGAAATATTATTTGTTTGTAGACTTCAGTCTACTCACCCATATTGTGCTCTCTGTCTGAGTCCCCGTGCACTAGTATGAGCTGCCTGTCCGCTTGCTGTAACCTGAAGCGTTTTGGATTTAACAACTGTTCAGGAATGTCAGATCAGCTGAAACCAAATGAGCCAGTGGCAACAATTGTGACAGCTTTATGATACAAGGAGCTAAATGTCGCATGTATTACGTATGGGTACAGTACAAATGGGTACAGTAAAAATGTAATCAGTAAAAGAATATTGGTCATGCTGTCTTTTAATCTGCGGTTTTATGAAGTTTAAACCCAGCTATGCTTCAATTGATGTAGGCTGTTTGAAGATACAACATGCTTATTTGTTGGTTCTGTGGGTAAAAGACTAATCAAGTGCTAATTAGAAATCTATAGGCCCAGTTAAACAAGAAAGATAAAAGTGGTCTTTCCACTGCACCCTGATTACATGCACCCACCTTGAAGATACAGTAAATGCTGTTTCAATACCCTCTCCACACACAGCCATGAAAGACTTCTGGTAGAGACAAGTTTCATCTCACCCATTTATTGATCAACTGCCTCAAAACTGTTAAGCGCACCCTATAACACATAGTTCTCATCAAATCCAGATATAGCCTCAGTTGTTTGTTGGTGATAGACCCTGCTTACATGGTCAGAGTATTAAATAAATATCAAATAATTCTTTAGAAAATTCGGTTCAGAAGGTGTAATTACTACAACACAATCTGAACAGTCAACCCTTCAGTGCAGGGACCTCCAAACCATTTTATCTCAAATACTAAACAAACAGCTAAATCCACAGCCACCACTAAATGTGAGCCCAGATTTTTTTTGCCACACAGCTAGGACATTATATGGTGAAATTAAACTAACAGACTGAAATATAACAACCATCATTATGTATATCATTATTATGCTTCTGTACCTAAATCAAAATTACACGCAGATATAATTTACATGGATCAAGATCATAAGTATGTATTTATTACTGTAGACAAACTGCCGGCATTTCCTCAAACGGCCACTGGATGGCAGCAAAGTAGACCTTCATTGCAGGACGTTAAAGTGCTAACATGTATTCTGTTTGACTAGGTAGTGCTTGTTGGGGAGGCCATATAAATATTCAATAAAAACCGAAACAAAGGCCACAGATTCTTCCCAAGGAGGTTGTAAAATGTCCCTGCAAATACTGTTTATCACTAATTGACTGTTAACATGATGTTTCCAGTACATGGTGTTAGCAGTCAAATGATGATAAATACACCCTTGCTAACATAAGAGTACAGTATGAAATATTTTCTTTAAAGTTGGCTACATCAGCATTCCCTCTCTTTTGCTATAAATTCATACTCTTGACATTAATGATGTAATGAGTATTTTATTTATTTATCAACATGGAAAAAAAGGTCTCAAGCACCAAACAATATAATAAGGATTGGTACATTTTCACACATTTGGTAGGGCCGCCTTCTCAAAATGGTTAAATCAGACAAGCTTTCTTTCAAGAATACACGCATAAACACACGCACACAAAAGACATAATACATTGGCCTATAAATAGGTGTGCGTCACCTACAGGAAAGCGGTTTCCTGCAGTTATCTCTACGTGATTTATAAAATCAGACAAAATCCGACTTGCATGTTTATGTCTGTCCTGTCAGTGTGTGTTGAGTAACCTGAGGTATTTTTCTCCTCAACACTCAAAGATTGTCAACAGCAAAAGCTCCTAAAGAGGCCAAAAAAGGTGAACCACCGTAAACCATTCTGTCAGTAAAATATTTCTTCTATGAGGACAATAATAACTTTGACATCAGCTGGCTAAAGAAGCCTTCTGGGTGAGAGAAAAATAAACACATGAAAAAACAAAGTTTCAGCCATTTTTCAGAAGGACAGAACAAAGGATGTTTTGACACCATAGAATGTAAATGGCCTAAATATAGCAGTGCTATTTTATGAATTGCTTTTCTGAACATTGTCCACATCAACACTGAGGTGTTGTACCCCACAGTGACAAGCATCACACCCAATTTATCATGTCTCTTACATTTAACATGTATAACTGAAAAAATAATGACTTTATCTTGAGGTTTTAGTCAGGATTATGCTTCAGAGTTAGACATCCTCCATTTGTTTTTGGTGTACAAATCCCTGCACCTCTGACTTGTCAATTTATGACTCCAACGATAGACAGTTAATTTTTGGTACTGGGAAGAACAGAAGTAGATAGAGTGAGAATTTGGAAAAAAAATGTCAAAAATTAATAGATAATATTGTTTTTTACAATTCCTTAATATCCACCAAATGTGTGCCTATACATGTGTGAAATTACTTAAAGTAATTTCATGATGCTTGATGTGTTTAGCATTCACAAACTACTATACTAAAATTTCAGTCCTAAGAAACAATTTCTAAGACTATAATGGAAAACTAATAATGTAAAAAAAAACAAATCAAAAGGGGTTTGGAATATAAAAGTTATCATCATGTAAGCATCACTGAAACCATCACTGCTTCTGTTCAAACCATCACAGAAAAAGACATTTGGGAACCAGAACCAGTGAGTCCAAAGGAGGACAGAAAATTAGCAAAATAAGATTTAACTTGCATCTGTTATCTTAACATGTCTAACCCTTGCTTCATGTCAGTGATGGGTAAACATCCTGGAGGTTTCTGTCTGAGGTAACAGGCGTCAGCTTTGGTTAGTCTGCTTGCTTGTGTTTACAAGTTGTGACTAGATGATTCTTTTCCTCTTTCTGGTGACGGTCAGTCCCACGTGTTACAGATATAACTTACCGGTCGACCCAATGTTCACGTCAAGGATGTCTTAGCCATGAGATCAGTTGTCTCTGGATTCACTTAATGTCATGTTTAACGATGCCTGGAAGGTCCTTAACTGTATATCAGCCTGTAAGTCCAAAGAATGCTGCCACACAGTGTTCATCTCCTGGGCGTCTCTTTGTCCTTCTCATCTCTGTTGGATTCATGTGGGGTCATTGATAAATATGTTCAAAGTACTGAGGCTGAGGATTCTCTTTGACATATTTCTGAATGTACCAGCAGGTCAAGTGAGCTTTCAGATCCTCTTCTACTACAAAATCCATGGCAGCCTGCCATCACACAAGCATGAAAATCACATTTAAATTGCTTTGACAGGCACTTTATCATTTTATATGAGCACTTTGGTCATAGATTTTAATAATTTTGGTAGTACAATGTGTATCATACATTCAAAATTCAACTTAGTGAAGTAAGTTTTTCCAGTAACTAATCATTGTGTTCATGCCATTTGTCAAAAAAAATGACATCTACAAAACATTTTTACCTTGGCCAGGTGCTTGGCAATTCCTCTCCCTCTGTAAGCATCTGGAACTTCAGTGTGCTGCAGGTCTACTGTCTTCTTCCCAACATACTCATACAGAAGAACTGCACGATCATGTGATCCTGAGGACAGATAGAAGCCATAGCTCTGGGTTGTTGTCCACCCCACCCAGTTTCCTACAGCCTACATAAAACAACCTGATCCCACATTGCTAAGGGACTCTAACAGTACTTAAAATGCTATAGTCAGTGTTTATGAGGAAACACTAGCATTGCAAATTCATTAAAAAAAACTGCTCACTGTCACAACTGACAACGCACAAAAGCCAGATTAACTATAAATTTGGACATTTAAAGCTGCGTGCAAGCCCACTGGCTCAGCAGCTTGAAATTTACATATAATGCTACGACATGGCTGTTCAGTAAGACAAGGCATAAGTAATTTCACTCAGTGAGCATTCAATAACCTCAAAACAAAAGAGTCACTGGTTTGATATCACATGGCTGGCTACACACTCGAACACAACATGTGGCCTAGCTAGGTACAGACAAGTTGAGAGAGACAGAGTGATAAATATCTTAATTTAGGGAACAATGGCTCCCACCATTTGGATAACATATTTCAAAATACAGGTATTACGTTTTCTCTTTCAGAAGGAATCAACATGAAAACAAAGCTCAATTAGTATTAAACTTAACAAAATGTATAAATCACTATGTAAATACTGTGGTATTGGACTAATTCTTTCCACAATAAACGCCACAGCCCCTGGTCTGACTGATAAAACACAGTGCATGCTTAATCCAGGAATTTTAAATACATTATGTTTTATGCATAAGCTTTAAAGGTTGGGGAGAGCAATCAGGTTGTTATAAGAGAAATGATCTCAGAAATATCTATTAAACTATCTTTTGCGGCTGGATGATATAGAATACTGCATTTTGAGGTTGACTTCAGGAAAGGCATGAAGAAGCTGCTTTCGTCATACAAAAAAAAAAACAGCTGCTTGCAAGTTAAGACAGTCTGCATTCGACTAAGCATCATGGTCTTTTCTGTTCTTGTCACCTAATAACAGCTGAATAAAGACGTGACATTTCGACTAGGTAAAGTGAAGAACCCCTTTGTGCCTTAAACAGCAGTTGGAGTTATCAACAAGGGGCACGACGGCGATGTTAACAAAAAAGAAAGCTACACCATCCTCTGAGCTAGCATTAGCCAACTAGCTAATGTTTACATGATGCGCTTACCGTTAAGCCTTATAATAAACTGCCGACGCTTTTTATCGTGCTCCACCTGGATCTGAGAGTTGTTTACGTCGAGGACATTTGCCTGTGTTGCCTGTGTTGCCTGCGTATTAAGTGCCATAGTAGCTTCCTGAAGTTGACGATGATCGCTATGCTACTCCACAGCGTTGCTAACCAGATATGGCTACATGAAATCATGAACGGTCAAAGCAAAAGATTTCAGTCAACGAAATCAGCTGTGAGGTCACGTGACGTACAACCAATCAGCGCCGGTCTTGACAGCCCAAACAGTTATACGAAGCTCTTCAAGTTACCCTGTATCGTTGTATAACAAGATTATTATTATTATTAAATATATATATGAATGTAAAAGCTGGAGTTTTCTGTTGTAGATGGAGGTGATTTTAAACCATTGTTTATGGGAATGCAACTAATGATTAGACATTAATCTGCTTATTATTAATTTTCAATTAACTGTTTCATTGTTCAAAAAGCAGTGAGAACTGCCTAAACTAAACTAACTAAAACTTGTCAAAACTGTAATGTAGTAAACGTGCAAAATTCCCCTCTGAAATATAGTGGAATAGGAAAAATGACTCAAGTAAAGTACCTCAAAACTGTTCCTAAGTAGCCTACAGTCCTGGAGTAAATGGCTGCTTTCCACCACTAGTTTCTCCAACTTAAATACCACCCCCACCCCAAAAAAACTACTAATTCACTACTGCATTGTAGACTCTGCACTGTTTGCCATGGCTACATACAATCTAATAAGTTTAGGCAGTTAGTCTGTATGGTTACAGCTTTAAACTTACATTTTTGTTTTTCTTGGTGAATAAAAGCACAAGTGATGCACAATATTTAGGAAAATGTTTTGACAGGTCCTGTCAGGCCACAGCTGACAGAGTCACAGTCACACCTGTGTCTCTGTGTGTCCTCAGCAGTGGCTGTCCTTCTCAGCTGCACTCGAGTGAGTTCTTGTGTTTACTGCTACCGATTGTGCTGATATAAAACAAATGCTCTATCTTGATACAAACTTGATAGACATTTGGAGTATTTCTAGACATTAGTGGAGTTTACTAAAATTACTGTGTGGTAATCTTGTTAAGCTTCTTGCCTAATCCTGCAAAACTCTAATGGTGTTTGCCAGCTCTGTATGGGATTAAGTGTGTGGGACACTGTTGTATAGACCTGTTTGTGCTTTGTTCTCTGGTTTTTGCCAGACTGGACTGAGAGGGAGCGTGCCTGTTTTTATAGACAGAACAATAATAATTTCAGCTATAAGTTATCACTTTTATCTTAACAGACTAATTGAGTGCATTTTTATTATATTGCTGGAAAAGATGCCCAAGAAACCAAGGTAAGTCAGCACTTGTCAAGCTATTACCTAAAAAAATATAGATTTTACCTGATGTACAGACATAAATTTACAAAAACTTATAGAAGAGTAGTAAATATTGTATAAGACAGTGTTTCTGTTACTAGTATATTTTGCTGAGATCTATCTATCTATCTATCTATCTATCTATCTATCTATCTATCTATCTATCTATCTATCTATCTATCTATCTATCTATCTATCTATCTATCTATCTATCTATCTATCTATCTATCTATCTATCTGTCTGTCTGTCTGTCTGTCTGTCTATCTATCTATCTATACACACACACACACACACACACACACACTATGGGTAGAAAAGGCACACTTTTCCAACTAGTCTCTGAGATGTTGCACAACACCTGACATGTTTCTGAATCATCTGTACGATATAGAGGAAGGAAACTCTGCTTATCTCTGTCCAGAAACAACTTTTGGTGCCTGTTAGAAAGAAGAGTACACAAGAGTACTAAGAAACATACTAACCAACATCAATACAGATATTTTCTGGCTATGTAGTATTTCCATGACTGTCTCTAAAATTCATTGTTTACCACAGACTGTTCATGAGCTACATTACATGGCTGAATTTTGTGAAAGTGCAGGGAGTGTGGAAAAATTAGGCTGAAATGTCTTAATCTTATTTGTAGCAGGTGGCATGAGACCCAGGTAAAATGCCAGACCAGCACACCTACACAGAAGAAAGTGGGAAAGGTAAGTACCAAACTTATAGTGAGGCTTGTGACGTTCAGCCTTCAGTTTTGTCTGAATAGGGATGTTCTCAAAGATACCACTGACTGATTTATTACAATGACTTGAAAACATTCTGGAAATGAGAAATTTGTATTCTGTGATGAAGTATTCAGTTGTCTTGTATTTATCATTTAAATATTACTACAGTAGAAATGAAGGTCATGAGGATGAGGCCAGATGCAAATTTAAAATACTTAATGTTTTTAGAAAAAAAAAACATTTTCCTTGTGTAGCCTGGAAGACTATTGCTCAGCTGTGTTGGAGAACACCTGGTGATCAAACACCTTTCATCATGATAAACAGCAGATATGAATAAATCTTTAAGCCATACCTGGTGGCTGCCAGCATACAGTGCCTTGCGAAAGTATTCGGCCCCCTTGAACTTTGCGACCTTTTGCCACATTTCAGGCTTCAAACATAAAGATATAAAACTGTAATTTTTTGTGAAGAATCAACAACAAGTGGGACACAATCATGAAGTGGAACGAAATTTATTGGATATGTCAAACTTTTTTAACAAATAAAAAACTGAAAAATTGGGCGTGCAAAATTATTCAGCCCCCTTAAGTTAATACTTTGTAGCGCCACCTTTTGCTGCGATTACAGCTGTAAGTCACTTGGGGTATGTCTCTATCAGTTTTGCACATCGAGAGACGGAAATTTTTGCCCATTCCTCCTTGCAAAACAGCTCGAGCTCAGTGAGGTTGGATAGAGAGCGTTTGTGAACAGCAGTTTTCAGTTCTTTCCACAGATTCTCGACTGGATTCAGGTCTGGACTTTGACTTGGCCATTCTAACACCTGGATATGTTTATTTGTGAACCATTCCATTGTAGATTTTGCTTTATGTTTTGGATCATTGTCTTGTTGGAAGACAAATCTCCGTCCCAGTCTCAGGTCTTTTGCAGACTCCATCAGGTTTCCTTCCAGAATGGTCCTGTATTTGGCTCCATCCATCTTCCCATCAATTTGAACCATCTTCCCTGTCCCTGCTGAAGAAAAGCAGGCCCAAACCATGATGCTACCACCACCATGTTTGACAGTGGGGATGGTGTGTTCAGGGTGATGAGCTGTGTTGCTTTTACGCCAAACATAACGTTTTGCATTGTTGCCAAAAAGTTCGATTTTGGTTTCATCTGACCAGAGCACCTTCTTCCACATGTTTGGTGCGTCTCCCAGGTGGCTTGTGGCAAACTTTAAACAACACTTTTTATGGATATCTTTAAGAAATGGCTTTCTTCTTGCCACTCTTCCATAAAGGCCAGATTTGTGCAGTATACGACTGATTGTTGTCCTATGGACAGAGTCTCCCACCTCAGCTGTAGATCTCTGCAGTTCATCCAGAGTGATCATGGGCCTCTTGGCTGCATCTCTGATCAGTCTTCTCCTTGTATGAGCTGAAAGTTTAGAGGGACGGCCAGGTCTTGGTAGATTTGCAGTGGTCTGATACTCCTTCCATTTCAATATTATCGCTTGCACAGTGCTCCTTGGGATGTTTAAAGCTTGGAAAATCTTTTTGTATCCAAATCCAGCTTTAAACTTCTCCACAACAGTATCTCGGACCTGCCTGGTGTGTTCCTTGTTCTTCATGATGCTCTCTGCGCTTTAAACGGACCTCTGAGACTATCACAGTGCAGGTGCATTTATACGGAGACTTGATTACACACAGGTGGATTCTATTTATCATCATTAGTCATTTAGGTCAACATTGGATCATTCAGAGATCCTCACTGAACTTCTGGAGAGAGTTTGCTGCACTGAAAGTAAAGGGGCTGAATAATTTTGCACGCCCAATTATTCAGTTTTTTATTTGTTAAAAAAGTTTGAAATATCCAATAAATTTCATTCCACTTCATGATTGTGTCCCACTTGTTGTTGATTCTTCACAAAAAATTACAGTTTTATATCTTTATGTTTGAAGCCTGAAATGTGGCAAAAGGTCGCAAAGTTCAAGGGGGCCGAATACTTTCGCAAGGCACTGTAAAATACATTCTAACACGACCTCTAGTGACATGTCATAACACTGAACATGAGAAAATATTATGGCTATGGCTACAGTTATACACGTCATAATAATAATATTAAACATCCTGTCTGCTGACAGTCAAACTTTTTTATCTAGTTATCCTTGACCATAAGCATCCTGCAGCATTCATGAGACTGGCTAACTAGACATCCTGTCTACTCTAAACATTTCTAATACAACAAGTATCTGACCAATATCTATCTGACTAAAAATACCTAACAATTCCCCCTCACTGAGCTCGAGCTGTTTTGCAAGGCGGAATGGGCAAAAATTTCAGTCTCTTGATGTGCAAAACTGATAGAGACATACCCCAAGTGACTTACAGCTGTAATCGCAGCAAAAGGTGGCGCTACAAAGTATTAACTTAAGGGGGCTGAATAATTTTGCATGCCCAATTTTTCAGTTTTTTATTTGTTAAAAACGTTTGAAATATCCAATAAATTTCGTTCCACTTCATGATTGTGTCCCACTTGTTGTTGATTCTTCACAAAAAATTACAGTTTTATATCTTTATGTTTGAAGCCTGAAATGTGGCAAAAGGTTGCAAAGTTCAAGGGGGCCGAATACTTTCGCAAGGCACTGTATGTGAAGGTGAAGTATTCAGTGGTGGAAGAGTACTCAGGTCTTTTTGTTAAGGTAACATTACCACATTGTAAAAATACTCCACTGGTGCATTAATGTATATGTTGAACTTTAATACTGTAGGTGTTTAAGGTTTCACAACAATGTACAAATGTATAGCATAATATTCAGAGGTATGTAGTTTTCACTGAATAGGAAGGAGGTGGAAAAATGTAATCTGCAAATTAATTAGTAACTAAAGGTGTCAGTTAAATGTAGTGGCATAAAAGGTACAATATTTGACTCTGAAATGTAGTAGAGTAGAAGTATAGCAGCAAAAGCAAACAGTCAAGTAAAGAACAAGGACCTTGAATTTGTGCATAAATACAATACTTGAGTAATTGTACTTAGTTACTTCTCACCTCTGGGACTATCCTGATGCAGACAAGTAGTGTTATGTTTTAAATTTAACTTTGCTCATCTGGTTTTATAAAGTTTGAAGTACCACATTACTGTTTTAACAACTTCTCTTTGGCTCCAGTAGTATAACCAACATCAGCTGAAAATGTTTACCATTACATTATCAGTGTTTTATGTTGAACACAGCTTCTTCAGAGGGGGTGCAACTCCTTGCTAGGCATGCACGCCTTTGGTTTGATTTATGTAGCCATTAGGCTTAAGATCAAGTCAGTGCAGGTAAAAAGACCAGCACAAGTTGCCAAGTCAGGACTCTTCGAACCTCTTCTAATTGATTTCTTTGTTGTGTAGTACGGCCACAGATCGACTGCCTCTGCAGTTTGAAGGGTTGCATCTACTGAGACTGGTACAGAATAGCTAGCCTGATGGCTCTCCAGTGCTCAGCTGTGATTAAGTTTAAGATGTGTGTTTGTGTCTGTGTGTGTGCCCAAGATCACAGTGTCAGTCAGATGGTACTTAAGCAAATTACGTAAGAGCTCTTGCAAGGATTAAATGATGCTCTTCAGTGGTGATTGGATTGTACGTGTCAAAGAGTCTAAGTTGGGATGGGAGTGAGCAGGATGTGTGATGTTTAACATTTAAACATTATCATCAAAATGAAAAACCAACAGACCTTTCTAGTGTGTTTTTGTGACTTATTTTCTTAGACGTTCACTGGTTCTTTCTTTCTCTCTCCCAAAGGACCCAACAGCCTTCACAGTGCCTGTGTCTAGTGGAGGTAGACAGGCTGGCAGCAGTTCCTCTAAACCCAGGGCTAGCTATGGAAGGAGCAAAAGCCTCAGCAGCAGAGGTGGTGATATGACTGCAGTGGGTAGTAAAGTTGGTGGCAGTTTGAAAAGAGGCAACCTTAGCCACCAAGTCAGCTTTGGCCACCTGGGTACCAGACAAGCATCTCAGCCAGCCAAACCGGCTCCCCGCCTCTGCCGCAGCCGCCGGTTCCCCCGCCGCCTCTTTCAATGGAACCCAGCCACTCTCTCAGCAGACTCGACCAAAGAGCCACTGGAGAAGGTAATTTATTCATGTGCACTTTATGATTTTTCATTTGTAGTTCTTAGATACAATTAAATTTAACATTTCCTATCTTATGTGGAGTATTTTTATGAATCTAAATGTGGTGGCTCATTTTTATTATGCTATTTATTAGGTTTTTCTTAAACTGCACTCAAACAAGGAAGCTCTGAAACAAAAATAAAAAAAACTAGATTTCACAAGAGAGTAAAGAAGTGTGTCAAGTTTTTTTATATACAGCCGCTTCTTTGCTGTGGTCTCTGTAACAGATTCACACCATCCAAGTTCACAAGTAAAAAAAGGACAAGCCACAGAAAAGAAAGCGCTGGATTCTGGCCAGCTGTCTGAGGAGGAAATCAGGTTTGTTGGTGGTTGGTAGAAATGTCAAAGTTTTCAGATTTTCTTTCCTTTAATGATCGCTCTTTAAAATGCCATTATTGTACTATACTTCCAATAGATAGTAATGATTTGCAGTCAGTAATAACTGGTTTTCCCTGTTCCATTTATGTTTTTGTGATTAAGGGACAACAAAGACCAGTATCATGGTAATAATGCTGAGAAAAGTAAAACAAGCAGCTCCTGTGAGTTTCCCTCCTCTTGTCATCACTGCACCAAAGTAAAGAGACAGGTATATTCACAGACCAGAGATGGTGTGTACACACTTTGTGCGATGACCTCTGGGATGAGACACAACTGGGTCCAAGCAGTGTTAAAGAATGTGAAGACTAGTCTTACTCCTGATATCACAAGGTAACTACAGGTTTTTTTTAATTTTATTTCTAAAAGTGCTGCATAATTGGTGTCAGTTGTAGATGAATGTATTCAACTGTTTTAGATCTCATGGATTCTGCCTTAAGGGCTGATTTTATCAAGGGTTTATACTGTGAAATACATTGTGGGTGGCTGTGGATTTAACATCAAGTATGTGACAACTTTTGTGTAAAGTAGTTTCTTTTGTGTTCTTCACAGCTCCCTTCCAGAGCAGAAGACTCAACAGCAAACACAGCAACCTGATTCAGAGTCAACCAGTCGTTTGCAAGCACACAATACCAGCAGCTGGGCAGGGGATTCACATCAGCAGCAGAAAGAACAAGAAAGCAAACTGCAGTCAGAAAGAGAGCAGAGATCTGCTGATAAAAATGCTGCATCGTCTCTCCTCCCTGCCTTCTCTGCTCCATCTCCCATCAGTCCTCCTCACCAGGTGGAGGAGGGCCAAGGTGCTTCTTGTCTCCAGTGTCCACTTCTAGCTGGAACCACACAAACTGGTGAGTCATTGAATAAATAGAAGATAAGAAAAGTGTTTTAGTAATTTGCTTTTAAAATTAAAAATCCACATGGAAAAATGATATAGATTTGAATGATTGTATAGAAATATATTTGTACTTTTGAATGTTTATTATTATTCATCACATAATGTTCAGTCAGTGAGTTTTTGGATATATCCTTATTGAATTCACCAAAATGGTTCTTCTGTTTAATTTGTTTTTAATGACAGGTCACAAATATTTATTTACTCCACAGATATATGGGGTAGAGATACACGCCAGCATATTGTTTCATTACAAATGTATTTAAGTGTGTGGCTTTTTGACTACCAGGTGTGACATCATGTGTTGGAGCTGGAAATGACAACTCATCCTCTGCAGCGGTGCTGTCAGATGATGAAGAACATTCAAAAATTCAGATTTTAAGTGAGCAAATTAAAACCATACCCCAGTGTGAGGGGCAACAAATATCAGTGAACACCACCTGTGAGTGCATGAAAGACAAGGAAACATTGCCATGTGAGCAGCAAACTGTGCAACTTGTCACAGAGGTGAGATTATGTTTTTAAGTGTGTATGTGTCAATATGCAGTTCCATTATAAAGACATTTACAGTAAGTCAAGAAAAAATACTTGCATTTTTTTCCTGCCATACCAAATGATTAAGATGTCACAAGCAGGAAATAAGAAATACTGAGAGAACCAAACATCTACAGATCTGTTTAAGAGCTTGATAAAATTTGTTCACCTGAATACATGAATACATAGTGACGGTTTGATGACATTCCTTCACAGTTGGAACAAACTCAGAAGGAACTGTCACAACTCCAAGAGTTAAACAAGAATCTGCAGGATGAACTCGAACAAGAGAGAGAGATTCATTCAAGAGAAAGGATTCATCCAGAGGTATGACTCTCAAAAACACAGATATTCTCTCTTTATAGTAGCACTAGTCAGTCTGAAGGTAATGCACTCATGACCCATCTTGTGAAAATACATATTTTTCTACTATAAAAGGCCACACAGGATAAAAGAAGATTCAGATTTATTGGTGGAGCCCTTAGCTGACTGCAAAAAAACTGTCCTTCACAATTTGAATTGGACACATGCACAATATAAAACAGTAATGTTTAATCTATTTTAAAATATCAAAACATGCGACTTAAGAAACTTCTAAAATGCAAAACACAGTTTGCCCTAATAAAAGCTCTCCTTTGTCTTGTAGAAAGATCTTTCAAACTTCTGCTTGTCTTCAGAACAAGCTTCAGCTTTACAGCAACTGCAGAAGATAAACCATGACCTCTACACTGAGCTGGAGGCAAAGAAGAGGAGTCAGGAAGAAGCCAGAGAAGCTGAACTACTGCGAAGAGTAGATGTCTTAGCTCAACAAGCACAGTTACTGGTCACAGGTGATGCCACAGCACTTGCACAACCTCATCTTGAACACGATCGTAAGTGGCTTCCTGAGCAGCAGATGGAGCAGGAATATTATGTGGCCTCCTTGAAGTCTCAGCTTAGCATCAGTGAGGAGCAGAGGAGAGAGGCTGAGTCATGTTTGACACAGCTGCAGCAGGAGCTGCAGGGTTATCACAAGCTCCAGCGGGAAGCTGACCACCTGCAGAAACAGCTTCAGGAAATGAAAACTCAATTTCATGCAAATGAAGAAGCACAGGCTCAAAAAGAGGTTTGCCTGCAAAAGCACTTAACGCTCCTTCAAGCAAGTCAGGACAGAGAACGGAGGAGCTTGGCTGCCTGCCTGGCACAAGCTGAGCAACATTCACAAGACCTTCAGGAGAGACTGGACATGGCTGAGCAGAAGGTGGAGAGCATGAATACCTGGACCAGAGAACTTGAGGAGGCTCAACAACAGCTTCAAGAGGAGCTAGCACGTACAGTATCGGTTGTACAGGAACTTCAAGAGGAAAAAGAGCAGCTTGACCGTCACTGTCAAGAGCTGCAGAATCAATTATCTGAGGCAGATGGGGAGATGAGCAGGTTGCAGAGCCGCTTGAAAACAGAAGAGACACATTACTACAATATTGAGCACTCATATGAGAAAGTGTATGAGGAACTGCAACTAGCCTTAGGGAAGGCACAGCAAAGGGAGTCTGAAACACAGAACATACAAGAAGGATACCAGAAACTTCTGGACAGGAAAGAAGAAGAGTTAAGTGAAGTTTTGCTGAAGATGGAAGTCTTGGGCAATAGCCTGGAGGAGACAGAAATGAAGCTGAATGAAGTGTTGAAAGTGTGCACCTGTGCCTCTTTTCAGCTGAAGGATGAGTTGTCAGAGCTTGCTCACCATAATGAGAGACAACAGCAAACAATTGAGCCTCTCACTGTAAATGACAGCAGGTCAAAGTCAGTGGATAGTGGCCAACTGTTTAACAACTCAAATATAATAGATGTTGTTCAGGTAAACAGCAGCATTTCTCACAATCATGCAAGAACCCGATCTCATTCGATTGACCCATCATATCAGTACACTGTCACTGCAGGAGACGAGCCAGAAATGTTTATGTCTGTGATCCAGTTACTTGAAACTAAGCTTTATGTGACAGAGGAGAAGCTAAGAGACATAACGCAAAGACTGAAGGAACACCAGAGTCACCACAGCTGCCAGGACCCCCACCTTTGCTCCCAGCTCACTCAGAGTCAAGCCACTGCCCAGCACCTCAGTCTTCTGCTTCACAGTCAGGCCAAGCAGAGCCAGCGCTTCGCCTGGGCGACAGAGAACCGCTGCAGGATGTTGGTTGGCAGGTTTCAGGTTGCTCTGAACATCATACAAGCCTGCAGAAAGAGGCTTCAAGGCACTCCAATTGATATTTCACACATTGACAAGCAACTAGCCACTGCTGCTGCCTGCCTTCAACAAGGACAGGAAGTTGCAGAGAAACAACAGAATGAATCACACAACGCCAGCAGAGGAGAGAATAAAATCCTCAGTGGTGAGGCTGAGAGCAACATTAGCACTAAAAGTACACACACTAATACATTATCATCAGGGGATGATATGGACTCTGCTGGGAAGTGTTTAATGAGGGACCTATTTGTTGTACAAAAAATGGTGTCTGTCCTTCAGAGTCAACATGGTACTGGGCAGCTATCTTTGGTACCAAGAGAGGGTGAGGGGGATGTGGCACAGAAGTACCAAACCATAATCTCCCAAAGAATCGCCTTAAATACAGAAAGAAGGACTCATTCTGGGAGAGCAGAATGTGACAGTGATGAACCTTTAGAAAGTAGCATTAGGACAGCCTGTGCTGAAGCTGAGCTAATTTATGTTGCCATAAAATGTCAGCAGCTATATGAGAGTGAAGTAAATAATCAAGAAACTGACCATCAGAGGAAGGATCTGACAGATATCAGTCCCCCAGAGTTGGTCCCATATGAGGAGCGGGTGCAGGCAGAGGGCAGAGGTTTAGAAGAAATTGCACAACCAGTTGAAAAGCTCCAGTCTAGTGATAAAACGGTGGAGGCAGAGAAAGAACCAAACTGGTTAGAGAGACTTATATCCCGGCTGCAAAGAAGGGTTAAATTCCTATGTCGTCTCTGCCAGGAGATCTCTGATGAGTGTAGTATCGACCATGACGAGGAAAATGATTCTGTAGTAGATTTGAACTGGGTTCACGAGCACGCAAAGTTGTTTTATTTGTCTGACAGGTTGTACTTGGATTTAGAGCAGCAGTTGCAGCAAAATGAGGTGTTGCAGAAGCGACCGCAAGCTTTGTGCAAAGAGCAGGATGTCACATTAATGAATGAGCAAGAGGCCTTTAATCGCACTTTAGGTCAGCTGCAGGAGGACAACAGTATGCTAAGAGAAGAGCTAGAGCGTGCTGAGCAAAAGATAATATCTGTAGAGAATGGGAATCAAAGACTCCTAGAAGACATTCAGAAAAGTGAACATTATCATGAAGAGCACGTGCAAAAACTGGAAACAGAATGTCAAGAGAAGATAAGAGAACTGCAGCAGATCCATGAAGAAGAGATGAAGCACTTGCATCGTTATTACACCAAGTCTTGTGTTTCCAAAGAGCGACAGACCAAACCTTGCGCAGAAGGACCTTCTTTCAGTGAAAGTCACTCCACCACACCAGAAATGGCTGCGAAGGAGGCAAAAACAAAAGAGGATCTCAGGAGTCAAATGGTGGAAGGTGATGCAGGAGCACTGAGGGAGGGTTACCAAAAAGATCTTGAACAACGTCAGGTAAAAAAGACTTTTCTTCTTGATCAGATTCTTTGTCTCTTTATCTGCACTTACTGGTTGATCAAAAAAGCATCAACTAGGACATATAACCACTATATAGCTATATAAATTCTCTACTTATATACAGTACATGTATATATCAACAGGGTTTCATTGCTATGGAGGAAATGCACAGGAAGTTGGTAGGTGATCTACAGCAGCAGCATCAGACGGAGGTGGCAGCGCTTCTGAAGGAGAAAGACCAACTGCTGCGAGAGGAGACAGCTGCCACGATGGCAGGTGAGGTTTCTCACCAAGAAACCATGAAAAACAACACTTAGGCCCAGTAATTTAATAAAAACTGGATTTGACTCTTTAGTCATTTATTTTTTGTGATGGAGACGGAGACATTTAGCAGTTTTTACCATGATTATATGGACTGCCTAACAATGGGCCCTATTTTAGCAAATAAAAGACGACCCTATAGTAAAAGTGTAACGAATCATTTGAATGTATAAATGTTACGGATTGTTTTTCGAAAATGATCAGGAAAAAAGAAATCAAGAATCAATACACAAAAGGCTTTGTCCACCATGAAAGTTAGCTTAAAGCAAGTTTTATTAATATGAACAGAAATTAAGTTAATCAAGGGACCAGCGGCAAATAAACGTGTAATTTATAAGCTGTCATATCTTGTCTTTTTACAGCCATTGTAGCAATGAGGAGAGCCCATAAAAAGGATCTGGAGAAATGCAGACAATCTCAGCACAGCAGGGAGAGTGCTGATGTCACACAGCTGCACATTGAATATGAGTGCGTGTCTATTAGTCCTTTCACATTTTCTAGCACTGGAGCTACTGATGGAAAGATAATCTTACTCATTCACTGCAGCATTTATTGCAGGGCTGTTGAACTGGAAAGCATTAGAATGTCACATGTACCTTGTACATTGTAGATATTATGATGTTTATGTCAGTTTTTTTCCATTTAGAAGAATGAATCAACAGTAACTTCCTCCTAGAACAGTTTCTTCTGAAACTTTGCTGTTCTCTGTTATGCTATATTCACTATGCCTCTGCACTGGCATTGCAGGAAAGAGATCCAGTTATTGCACAAGGAGCTTGAGGTGTTGTCGGTTCAGTACACTCAGAAATGCCTGGAAAACTCTCAGCTGAGCCAGGAGCTGCAGGATGAGAGAAAATCTTTGATGCTGTACCAAAAAGAACATCAGGAGCTCAAAAGGAAACAAGTACAAATATTTATGTTCTTTTTCTCAGACAATGTAGTGAAATAATCCTCATTTGTTTTCACTTAACATATCCACATCTCAGTAGGGCAGTGTGTGCGTATTTGTAAAGCCATTTACAGATGTATCAGTGTATTGTCTCCTTGTGTCTCCCTGTCCATCCTTTAAGAGACAGACAGATGAAATGTCTCACCTTCACCGCTCATTAAATGGGGAGCAGTTACATGTGGCCCCTCAAATAAATGACTTCTATGAGATGGAGGTAAGTGTCTCTAAAACAGAGTTGTCTTTGTCTCAAGCCATCGTGTTTCCTAAACATCTGTCCTCTACCAAGAAAGCAGGGATAAAGTCCTTGTGTTTAACTAGCAACATCAGCATTATTTTGTATAGAAAAATGTTCCATAGGTAAATGCTTGCACTTATAATCTTTGCTTCTTTATGTCTACACACAACAAACACCTTACTGAAGAACCCTCATCTGCACCTTGTCATACTGTACTGATGTGTTTTTTGATGATACAGGTGATTCTGCGGGCGAGGGAGGCAGAGATGCAGTTTCTCAGACAGGAAGCTCGTTCTCTAAGGGAAGACTTGAAGGTTGCTCGAATGGTACTGAAATCTCTTTAAACTTGTGCTGGGGATATTTCTTGATAACAAGATCAGATCATTACAGACTTTAGAAAATCTTCTGCATTCGTACACACACACAAAAAAACCCTGATTCTTTTTGTATTTACAGAAATCAGTGGCTAAATATACATGAAACTAAAAAAAAACAAAACAAGAGAATGTGTGTCATCAGCAGCAAACCTTTTTATCCATGTAATACAAAATACTATTAACACAAAATGATGTAAAGTTATAAATGTAAATGTTTTATTTCTGTTGCATGTCTGATAACAGATTTACTACTAATATCAGCAAAGTAACTCTGTGATTGGTGAATGTGTGTGTGTGTAACAGGACAAAATATATGCCCAGACCAAGTTGAAGGCCGTCTGTAAGGACAGCCAGGGTGAACACGGTCATGATGTCAACAAAGTCAGTGAAGAGTTCACATTTGCCACTTGGTCTCCAGGCAGATGTGCTTCAGGATACAGCTTCAGTGAGACCCTTTTTATTTTGTGTACATTATAAAGTTAGATTTCCAAGAATTTCAGAATATTCCTTTAATGTTCTCCCTCCCTGTCTTTTCTGTCTTCTTGTTTTTTCAGACAACACCATGACAAACACAACTAATGTTGATTTTCTGAAGAAAACAAAGACATCACCCCTCACACATCAAATCAGAGGAGCGAGGTCAAAGGTAAAATTTTCTGCTGTATCAAAAAGAAGGTTTTTGGAGACATTACTGATCTACTAAGTACATACATTTATCCGGCATTTGTAATTGTATGTTGAAAAGCATGATAGATTCATCAGTCTTGTTAGGCTTTATGTTTTAATAAGATGGTAAGTCATATGTCACACAAGAATGCTAACACAGAATGTAATCGTAATCAGGCATGCAAGCAATGCAGAGTGTAAGAAGCAGGCTCATCCAATAACCAAGCAGCATAGTTTCCACTATTCAGTGCTCTAGTTGTGCTAAAGCTTTTGAGCTGTGAGAACATCCACTTTTATCTAATGGTAAATGCAGATGTTCCCTTTATAAAGCACTTTATCACCTTTTAAAACTTTAGCTCTCAGTGGGGTGTTTGACTTGTACTAAGTGTCTCTCATTACTTGTGCATTTTTTTGTGCATTGCAGAGTTTAAAAGAGGACCTTTCTCTCCAGGACAGTATGAAGTAGTTTGAGTCATTCTGATTTGATTTGATTT